TCATTAGGGTTCTATAGCACAAACACTGGCCTGTTAGGGGTGCCAGTTATATTCGTTCGCAAGAGTCGTGTGGCCATTGCAGTGTAAGTATGGTTAAGCACCCTAAACCATGTCAAACTACGACAAATCGAGGAAATGGTGCCAGATACCCAAAGAGAGAATGTGTGGATTTCTTGCGGGTCTGGTTGTTGATGAGCTCCAAATTTCTAACAGTTTCGGGGTCTATCATCATTGTCCCTTCGACAGGGATATAGCGTATACGAAGAGAACACGCAGAAAAGCGGGTATTGAGGCGAGATTCCACAAATTTGAAAAGAGCGCATGCAGCTGAGAGTGTATAGTACCTGCACGCTGGCAATTAGCAGAGTGAACGTGAATATATGCGCACATCTCGACTTGTCTGTCACAGATACCAGTGTGGCCGCACGTTCATCGTCTTCAACACAGAATTGAGCAATAAACTGATAGCCTAGAAGGGTGGCTAAGCGCATATATACGGGAGAAAATGTATTGTCGGCTGACCGGCGCTATCGTTCCAGTATTTTCTCGATACCGGTTCGATGGGGACTTGAGGAAACTCCTCCCTAATGAACTGCACCGACAAAGATGACGATGAAACTCGCGTGGAAGAAGTAGAAGAAGTGAGGCTTTTGTTTGCAGAGGATATAAAAGTATCGGGAACTAATATCATGCATGGCGTGTGCACATGCATTTGGTGTAGAGTTTTGACATAGGTAGAACAGTCCGACAGCTAATTGGCATGGGTTAGTTGCCGTAAATTGGTAGGAGATGAGCCTTTACTTGAATGAGCATGACTCTACCCGTATCTTTGTCGAGAGCGGCCATACCCACTTCGTGCGCAATGCCTCTACTTTCGATGAGGGCGATAACAAAGCTAGCATCGTGCATAGTGGAAGCAGCGGTCTGGGGACGCGCCGTCCCAGGGCGTGACTGGGCAGTCCATGGTCGCCGGGATGCGCTTGTCTGGCGTGTATAAGGACGCGACCGCCCAGATTCAGGGCGCATTGATGAGAGTTCGTTGACTGACCGAAGTAGAGTACTCATGGTTGCAGATACTTGTGTGGTAAGTACCCAGTGCTAGTAGTAGTAATTAAGTAAGGTTTGTGCTGACGAAGAAGTCGGCGCTTCCCGACTCTTCTGAGAGTGAAGGGACTCCTACAAGTTTCTCTTCTTAATCCATGTTCTTTGGCTCTATTTTAATGAACATTCCGGGGCGCGCGATGACTTTGCTCCGGATGTCTCGTATATGCCGTGACCCCGTGATTGGCGTTCCTGCGATGTCCGTACGTGTTAATCGGACGGAGCTAGCCTCGAGCCTCAGCCAAGATCCATTCCTGGATCAACCCCAAACACGCCTCTCAATCATCTACAATCATGAAATTGATCACTCGTAGTGGTGCATTGCGTTCCTTTGTCCGCGCTCGAGCTTTCTCCAGTGCTCCACCTCCACCTCTCAGACGACCGGGACGCGTGCTAGTGCTTTCCAGCGCATTGGCTACCTCCATGTTGGGCTACGCATTCTACAATGATGCTTCAAGTAGCGAACCGGCGCCCTTTGACACACGCACACTGTCGGATCTCGTGCGTGCGTATATCGTGTACGGGATGTAGTATCACCCCCCTCGTTGATGCGGCACCGACAATATTGGGTATCTTGTTCAGTACCCCTGGAGTGAGTAAGATAGTCGAGAGTTTCGTACGAGCTACTTTCTTCCACCAGGTACATAATTTATTCGTCATTGTCTATTCGAAGCCTTAACCAGGTCGGCAGTTCGTCGGTGCAGACACGGCCAATGGTGCACTACCACTGCTTGCTCTCCGTGCAGAGAACAAAGGTGCTCTCTTTTCTTATGCCGTTGAAGGCGACCAGAAGGAGGCAACGGGTCAGACGAACATGGAAGGGCAGCCCGTACACAAGTGTATCATAGAGGAGATTATAGGAGTATCGACGCCTCCGCCGATTTCGAGGACAGAAGGGGCACTTCAGAATGGACATATAGGGAGACGGACTTGGGTTTCTGTGAAACTTGTGAGTTGTCAGTATTTTACATCAGGAGGAGCGCAATACTCATGGTCGCCCAGACTGCTATGCTTCCAAATGCCCAATCCTTAATCAACTTGTCAGCACACCTCACAAATACTCGAGCACCGCTTGAATCCCCGGTACTCTTTCCAGGGACTCCTTCACCATCTGATCTTTCTATCCTGCGTTCCTCTACATCAACGGGAACACTAACAGAATCTGACATTCATGACCTGAAAGGGCTATACGACGACCTTGTGCTGATTTGTACCCGTGCTGAAGAACGCGGAGTAAGAATTTTTATCGATGCAGAGTATAGGTACTTCTCGAGTTTTTTCGGCTGCTTGCTAAATCTTACACACTGAATTATCTCACCATAGCTGGTACCAACCCGCCATCGACGCATTTGGACACGCATTGATGGAACAATTCAACAAGCTCCCCTCCCATGGCTTCTGGCGGACGTGGTGGGACATATCCTCTTGGACATCCTCTCCAACCACAAGAGAATCTGTGCATGACAGAGTGCAGCCTCTCGTGTATGTGACCTATCAAACATATCTACGACGGTCAGTATTCAGATCTACGCAAATGATCAAGCGTGCTCACTCAAATTACAGGATGCCCGCGCACCTCACGCACTCCCTGGCGCTAGCCCGTGCCAGAGGATATGCGCTTGGAGTGAAACTTGTCCGGGGAGCTTATCACCCATATGAACTTGCTGCCCATCAGCTGGCTTGTTCAGTTGGCTCTCCAGTCGGATCCCACTCGTCAAAACACTCGCGCTCGCTCTCCATATCTCCCGACCCTGAACCCCCTGTCCAACCCTCGAAGGATGCGACGGACCAGTGCTATCACGATTGCGTAACCATGTTAGTCGATGCAATCTCCCAAGACATCTACCACTCCGGCCGATTTGGTACACCAGGCATTGGTGTCTTTTTTGCTACACATAACATGACCTCGTGCGAGTTCGTCATCGAGGAACTTGTTAAGAAGGGCCTGGGAATCGTCGAGCGTGTTGGCGTCGATCAGGTACAAGAGGATGTGGTGCGGATCCCACTTGAAGTTGGGGAGAGGATTGCATTTGGGCAGCTGTATGGTACATTTACCTTCTTCGCTTTCTGTCAAGTATTTGCACGAACTTATTGTTTGATATGCAGGGATGTCAGATGCGCTGACGAATTACCTCGTCGGGCGGACGCAGTGTGAAAGTCCGTGTGTGATCAAGTATGTCCCATTTGGCGCCATGATGCAGGCGAGTCTCTTCACTGCTTATTCTATTTTTCTTTTTACTGGATTGACCCCTTTCCGCAACAATACATGAAGTCTGTCTTTTGCCGTGCTATTCTTGTTGGTGATTTCTAAGAATTATTCTGACTGTGCCTTCATGTCTAGGTCATGCCCTACCTTTCACGTCGAGCGATTGAGAACAAGAGCGTTCTCGAGCAGCAGGGGGTGCCACAAGAGAGAGAAAGGGGGCTGCGGCTCTCATTTGGAAGAAGATGAAAGAATTGCTTATGTCATAGATATTTGGGCCCTCAGGTTTTTTATTGGGTGATTTTGATGCAAGAAAGGGCTTAGCTAGACGTAGGAATGTAAGTACTTGTGTAGATTCAACTCACTACCCACGTCACGGATTGACGACGTAACATATATCCTAATCACAAGAACAGTTTGCGCTTTGCCTACAAGAATATTGGAAAAACAGATATAGCCTACACTGCCTGCTAGTGAAATCCTTCAGTGCCCAAGTAACTCCCTAAATTCTAGGCCCCATTGGTCATTCTTTCGCGATTCCTCCACAAACGCATCGAATTTGGGCGCACTGCCCGCACTGTCGATTTTGCCGAGGGCAGCGACAGCACGCATCGTGCTCCTCCGTAGTTCTGCTGCGCGTTCGATGTCCTGCTTCACCGTGTCTTTAGTGACGGCTGTGCCGCGCATCGTCGATTCAAGAGAGGGTGTGAGTTCATCGAGGCGCTGCGCAAGTGCGATGGAGGTTGTCGGAGACGCTGATAGCGTGCGAGGAGCATGTGCCCAATCACTTTGATCTCATCCGACGGATCACTGATGGCTGCAAGCAAGTGCGAGAGGAAGATCGACAAGTCGAGTTTAGCGAGGCAGGGTATCGAGCTGGGAGAGCATGAGTGAGGGAGAACAGGGGTGTAGCAAAAAGCTTACAAGGGTGTACAGTGTTTCCCATGCGGTCTTGCGTGCATCCAGTCCGTCATCGACTTTGTGCGTCCATGGCCCCATTTGGACCGTACGAATGAGATCGGAATTGACTTTCATCTCCGTATAGAGGCTCGGTAGCAGAGTTGGAAGGTGTTCGCGTATGAGATGAGGCTTCGTTCTGGCCGCAGAGTTGAGAGCGGACAACGCAAGGCGGCGGACATTCTGAGGAATGCCTGTCAGGATATCCAAATTTATTAGAGCAATGGGCGCACCAAATCCTTGTCATGTATTAAATCCAAGAAGTCCATAATGAGCGACGCCAAAAGCTCATCATATGATAGCGAAGACTCCGCGAGCGTATGACGGATGGCAGATACGACAGTGGCACGTGCTGCGGGGTTCTCGTCATGGATGCGAGAGTGAAGTTGTGGGAGATATCGTGTGGGATGTGTTGTAGTAAGTTTGCCTAGGCAGGCAGCGGCAACATTGCGTGTACTGTCCTCCGCATCCTCCGAGTATTGAAAAAGGGGTGCCCAGAGCTGCTCTGCAACACCTTCGAGCTGCCCATGCGAGCAATGCGTGACGACCTAGATTGACTCTTAAAACACAAATTAACACAAGACTAAATTCCAGACCTCCTTCAATGCATGCAGCGACAGCAACTTCTTATGCGGATCACTCTCTGCAATCCTGAGGATTGCAGGCAAGAATTGATGAAGATTTCCAATAGCAATATTTCCTAGGTACGTCAATCCATGCACCCAGTTGACGTGTATACTTCACTTACCAGCAGCGAATGCAGCAGCAGCACGAATCTCCTCCTCTTCTGCTGCGAAATGTTCGATGGTACTACTAAACGTATCTTGTTGCTTCGACATATCACTGCCACAGGGTTATCAGTGGAAACGGAGATACTGAGAAACATACATGAAACGGCCAAGTTCTCCGACAATAAGCAGACTTAGCACCACAATAGAAGTGGTGGACTTTGACTTTGAAGATTTCTAGAAGTAGCGTGATGTGAGAAATGCGTTGATTTACTGTGTCTGGGCTGACCTTCATATACTTGGAATAGACTGCAATTGTTCCTGCTGCCACTCCTTGAGAGCTTTGGACAACTTGGCCAATGCATTTAGCGACGTTGGCTAAATTGGCGTCTGACTTGTTTGCCTTTTCCACCGATGTCGCCAAACTGGGAACAACATGGGTTGCAATTTGACTATCAGCCTGCACCAACGAAGAGAAGAACATCAGAAGTGAATCGAGAGCAGCTCCTGAGACAAGAGGCGAATGTGCAATCTGATAGATATTACCAAGAAGCTCACGCTCAACTTCTGGAAAAGTAGCGGTCGGAGATAGCTCGAGTAACACTGTGATGATGGTCAATGCATGAGACAGTAAGGAAATGTCTGTGGTCGATATGTAGGGTTTGATCTGGGGGACCAAAGTGGGCGGAAGATCGGTGGGAACGCCAGATGAATATCTGGACAAAATGAGATCACTTCCAGATCTCCAAAAAATGAACTGACCTTTTTAGAAGAGTATCAAGGGCGATAAATATCTCCGGTTTTCCTCCCCTTTCACTTTTCTTTAGAAGACCCATGATCCATTCAACGCAACAGTTCACCCAGTCATCATTCATTTCCACGTCCCTCGCAACTTTCGTAACCACTCTCACAGCTCCTCCTGTATTACCCGTGGTTCGACATATAGCTTGCCATTCCTTGCCACCTTTCGGTTTGATGACATCAGGAGCACAAATCCATAGGTCTGCAATACAGTCCTCAGCGCATGCGCGAACCTCAGCGTCCGTGTCATGAGTGCTGAGACGCTGAAAAGCTTGATCGTACAGATGCTCCGTCCATTCACCATTCTTTACGGGTCTTGTGGCATTGAGTAAAGCAGAGAAGACGCGGAAGGCTTCTGAAGCAACTCGAGGGTGTTTCTCTCCAGCTGACTTCAAAAGAACAGGTGTCAGAGTAGGAAGTGACACAGAAAATGTCCCAGGAGCATGAGTCGTGAAATACAATGCTATGAAGGAGAGGCATGTAAGGTGGAGGGCTGAAGTTGAAGTCGCTGGCGACTGAAGTAGCACAGATCGAGAGATTGCGGCAATGGGCGTAATTTGGTTCGAAAGGCAACCAGGAAGAACACCAAGCAGAGCATGCAGAAGCTGGAAGCCTGCCTGAAGCGTCGGTGGTGGAGTCTTCGGGGACTTGAGTTGCTGGAGCAAGGCCTTGGATAATGAAGAAACCTGTGAGCGCAGAAGGGTATGTGGCGTTTCCTCGACATCCATTCTCTCTTCGCTATCTCTTTTCCTCTTCCGAATGGCGGAATCATTCTCTTGAGATTGTGATAGGCCGCCATACATGCTAGTCTGATTAAGTAAAACACCATAAGTTGCCCATACTTCGAGCCGAACGGTTTTCTCCCTATCGCCAAACCTCGATATTAGCACGGGCGATACCTCTTTGTACAGTGAGGTCAGGAGCTCGGGGCGAGTAGTGATCACAGCAGCTAGAAGTTTGGTAGAAGCACGCCGGATCTTGTATGATGTGTCTTCATCGTCTGAGTACCTATACGCGCATTGTGAGCAAAGATAAAATAAATTATGTAAGTCTCACTCATCAAGATCGGCATCATCGTCGTCGTCATCATCCGCATCTGCCATCTCTTCGTCCTCGCCGTCATCCAGTCCAGCATAATTCTGTGGATAGATGGGATCTAACCATACAAAGTTGTAGATTCATAACTCACTGGGTCATATTTGATGAACTGGCTTCCTATCTGTACTATCGAGCTTAGGAACGGCGCTGCTTCTGTCGGAGACCTTAAGATTAACGTCTCAAGAGCCTGAACCAACATAAGTGATCAGTAACAGTGTTGATGTAGAAGAGATATTTGCGAACCTGAAGACAACCCTCACGAAGTTCATCATCGTCCCTCTGGACAGCTTTGATGACTCCGGGGATGATGTCGTTATACACTAACGTCAGTTGCTGCGGTGCTTGCCGTATGATAGCAGCAACCAAATGCACGGTCGTGCGCTGTTTTTCCAGATTAGCGTTAGGTGCAAGGAACGAGAGGACATGATTCTGCAATAGATCGCTGACGAGCGTAGGAGGAGCGACGGGGACATATTGTGAAAGCGTCAGAATAGCACGTTTGCGTACGGCAGGACGAGAATGTGAAAGAAGCGGAGCTATTGCAGGCAGAGGATGTGGCGTAAGGGCTGGATCAGATACGTGGACAGGAAAACGAGTGATGAGTATAGATAGCGTTGATAATGTCTCGATCAACGTCTCCGGTGGGGTTTCCGTCTACAAGTGACCATGTGAAGAGCAAGGCAAGGACTGACAAAACGATCTTACATTTGAAACTTGCTGTAGAAGCTTTGGTGCGAGCTTTGCGCATGCTCTGGGAGTGATTTTGCCTTCCAATGGCAACTCAGAAGTAATCGTCTTCAATGCTGGATACTTGCTATTAGATTATAAGTTGCGCCAACAATCTTGATATCCTACCCAAACCAGAGATATCACGCAGTTCATCGTCCTTTCCCACTGAAAAGTTGATTAAGCTATCAACCACGAGTTCCATCTGCGTTTCGCGGATAATCTTGATCAATTGACCCAGACTAAATGCACAGTACCATACATAAAAGTCATAAGTTCCAAGAGCGAGGCAGAGTAGATGTGGGACATACCACTTGACAGCCTGATTTTTTACTTCCGAAATTCTGTCTTCTACCAAGGAAAGTACCTGTTTGAGGACCTTTGTCTCGGTAGGCTCGTCTCCGATGAAGCTGGCTGGATCTTGTTTGATCTCACTCATCAGGTCATTTAAACCCATAAATCTATCGAGAACTTCAGAAAATACGAAGATGATTGTCTTTGGAAACCTCACACACCGAAAGTCCTGGTCCGGAGATTGCATCTGTAGTACACGAGATCGCAAAGAGCTCAGTTGATCCTAGTGAGCAAACTTTAAGGTACTAACTTTCTCGATCAGGCTGTTCATAAGATACGTCTTCGTCATGGTGGTCGTCTGTCTTAGTCGTGGATTAAGATGTTAATCGTGATAGAAGCTGGCAGACAGGAGCCACACAATCATGATGCGCTTTTAGAGCTTTTAGAATACTTACAGATTTCAGTCACGCACGTCACACATGCGCCTATAATTTGGGTCAAGTCTACTCCAAGAAACAAGACAACCAGAGCGATCCGGATAACAACTCTTTAAAGGCAAAACAATAGGATACTATGGCGTCGGTGAATGTGTGGTAGTGTTACAATGCAATGTCGGTCATTGTATATGTACATGGAACATAATACGGTGTAAAATAAGGAAACGGTGAGTAGGTGCCAGCACCTTACAAGACACCTGCCTCCTCCAGCATCTTCCTTATAGGCGGAGTATCAGGCTTCAACTCGCCATTGAGAGGTGCTGCATATCTGCGCTTATTACGATTATAAGTGACAGGCCAAAAAAGTCCATCACCCTGTCAGTCACAAAACGGTCAGCAGGGCAGTCCAATAATTATGTCAAGAGATTCACCATCTTCGTCTGGGCAGCCTTGGGTTGTCCAGAAATTTTCCCTTGATACCAATCATAACCTGTGGAGTGGATCCACACGCTCTCGCCATTCTAGTAGTCAGGTCATTCAAGGAGCGAAGGAGTCGAAATTGAAATGCAATTCTACCCGAAATCTATATGGCCATGGCTCCTCGAGGGTCTCCGGTTGGGATTCTTGAAATGATATGTCACCGTAGGTACCATCGTCCCACTCCTCAAGATTCACATAGCGCAGTGGGTTTGGCCTTCGGTCGGTCCCCATGATAATGCGATGGTCCTTCTTGGAGGTTGTGTACATGTTTGAGGTGAATAAGTGGAACTATAAACCAGAAGATGACTTGGAAGTTATCGATCAAGGGCTTGGAGTGTGGTTATTCCTGCAAAACCAGATCGGACTATTCATATATACCCAGCTGGTGTGGACCGTCACGACCGTGTGGTAACTTCGCATTGCCACACCAGAGAAAGGGTCTCCTGTTACTTTCAGCTTTAACGGAATACAATGAAGTTCACGATGGCGTAGCTCACAATTAAACCATTGTTCTAAAAGGACCGACCACTACCCTCGGAGCATCGCCAGTATTAATGACCTGGAGTCGCCTTCTCCATTCTATTGTCACCTCTTTGGTAACTGCCTAAAGGAAGTCCACAGTCAGTGATTGACCTGCATACATACTTTTCAACGTTAGCGTTAATCGAGTGGCAAGCGGCTCTGCTACGTGATTGTAGCGTTCCTAAAAAGCCTTCATTCTTACAAGGCCGCCATCACAAAAATTGCGCAACTGAGAGATTACCCGATATGGACGATAGTGTGGCTGAACATATGACCAAACAAGTCCGTGTGATGTCATCAACACCCCGACGCGACATTTGAATGCAGCAATTAACTCAGAATGAGACCTCCCACCTCGCGATACTATCATAACGACATTAAGTAGATGATTCTTGTATCTACATGACATATCCTAGATACTAAAATATGTACACAATGTCGTATAGGTACTGTAATCAAAGTCTTTGCGCAACATACAATGAAAACGAAAATTTGATGCGCCGAGCGTTCGATCGATCGAGAAGCATGCTAAATACATCAAAGTGCGCCATATCCTTCCTCTGCAAGCACGTCATCGTCGAGCTCCTCTCCTTCGTCAGCCATGACTCTACCCTCGTCATCACCTTCTTCATCACTGCTCTCGCTGTCAGCATTGTCATCCTCGATATCCTGCCACTCCTCCACTGTATCAGCCACGTCTGATACGTCGGCAATGATTTCTTCAAGCTGATCACCCTCTTCCGGTTCTTCGGCTCCATGTTTCTCGTGTTGGAGAATATCGTCCCAGTCTCTGGTAGCTTTATGGCCGATTCCACCACCACGAAACCTCATGAACATGTCTTGATCGACAAATCTATATACATGATGTAGATATATCAGCCTTAGTTGCAAGAATAAATAAAAAACAAATGCGCACATGTTCACATATTGAAAACGGCAGTCAGACTCAGGATCTTGAGGATCTGAACGATGTTGAAAACTGGGAATCAGATGAACCCCACGAACAATGGAGTCTGGATCCAAGAATCCATATGTGTCAGGACTGTCTTCATCGAAAAATTCGAGGCGCTGGAGGCGTTTTGCAGCCCAACCTGCAGGTGAACTATCCCGTCTGAACCATCGGACAAATAAGAAGTCCATCCGAGTTGGGTGTGAGTATGTCTGAGTGTTGTCCTCGCGGTATTCAACATTGATATGAAAGATCCCGATCACACGGGCATACCAGTATGGATGAATCTTCTCATCTTCGTGGGAGAGAAGCATAATGTCGGCACGAGTACGGGGATTGATGGTGTCCTGTTCGCGTCGTAGATCGTAGGTTGTATAGTTGATGCGCAAGATACTGTGATGGTATATCTTGTTGTCTGTGAATAGAACTGAGGTGCGATCAGCATCGGAGAAGTCATGCTCATCTCCGTCATATGCAAAATTGCGAAGTCGAGCAAGGAGATGGTCCTTGAGTCGTGGAATAAACTCCTAAGAAAATACAATGAGAATGTGAATACACATGTACGAAAATAGCTTACCTCGATTGCAAGATCAGGCAAATCTCCAATGTCTCTGCGCTCGATTAACCAAGAGGTGATGTCGTCATTTGTGCGAGCATATGTTGCAATTGAATAATGATCCGAAGGAGACATTCGGGTGCGTCGTGGTCTCAGAATCTGCTTTGCTGCAAGGGCAGCAATCACCTTCTCAATTAGGCGTTCCCATGCTTCTTGAGAAGTCATGCTGGATAGGGTTTGATCCGTCTTCTTGGCTGTGCGAGGGTATCGGCGCTTTGATCGACGGTGCTCGAGTTCTCCCTGTATAATATTAGATATTGTATGAATAACATTATGAAGAGATCACTTACTGGTTGTGTTGAATAGCTATCTGAAGTACCAACTCGCCGGATAGTATTTGGGTAATCAGCGAGCGCGTGATATTTGTAGGTGAAAAGATTTAAGGTTTTCACCTTTGGGTTAGACTTCTGCAACGTGTTTGCAGAACCCACTTGTTTTGATGCCAATGCAGCCTCACGGCGTCCACGTGCAGCGTACTCGTTTGGAAGTTCAGTTGTGTGATAGTACGCACAAACAGTGCATTGAAATTTGCGAACTGATTGTCCGAGGATCACAGTGACAGAGTCAAAGAATGCGAGAGTGTCGTCCGTATGTACACGAAGTTTTGCGTAAGCGTGCCAGGTAGCGAGGTCAAAAAGGAGGTCAAGAACAACTGTATCATGTTCAGGAGGGAGTAGTCCTTCGAATACTGGGATAGCACACTTGAAATGAAAAGCCCATCAAACTCTGATCTGAATGTCTGATCGGATCGATCTTACCTGCAACATGTCTTCGAAATCACGGGCCGCCAGACGCTTCATCGCAGATGCATTTTTATGGAAACGTCTGATCGTTCCCCTGCCAAATGTAGGAACTTGACGGTACCTGTATATAGTCTTATAAGTGTTGTGTTACTGTGGCGAAAAACACTATGACTTACCTGAAATTGAGATCTTTGACTACTGTACCACCCGCAGCAAGAAGAATGCGCATCAGATGTATGAAAATAGCTTTCCACACACCCAACTCAAACTCGTGAAGCAAGTCCACGACAAACATTGAAAAAAAATTGAATGTATATTTGAGGAACCGTATAGAGAATGCGTTCTGATATGAAGTATTGAGGTATATATATAAGATTCATACATAAATTACTTACCCGAGTTGGAACTAGTGACTCGTCTTGTAAAATCCTCTTGATGTGTTGGCCGTTGATACCAACACCACATTTAAAAATGAGCCTGCGGGCTTTTTCAATTTTGCGATGACGTCGTTCGTCATTGACACGCTGAGTTGCTTGGCGCTTCTCGAGATCAATCTTCAGTCCCATATTGGGTATGTCTTCTTTCTTGACAAGGCAGCGGGGGCAAGGACATTCGCCGAGAAATTTGATGCAAGCAAGTAGAATCCTGTAACAATAGACATAGAATGAGACACAAGTATAAGAATTAAAATCAAACACGTACTTTTCAGGATAGTCTGCGGAGTAAGTAAAGAAGCGGGGGAAAACACGTTGAGTGATACCATCACCACATCGAATGACAATACCATTTTTGTAGGCGTCCATGAATTTTTCATCCAGTAAAAGCGCCCATATGGCTTGCATGAGCTCACGTTTGCAGTGAGTATAGACATCACTGGATGATGCCTCGCCAAAGAGACAGCCATAACGGTCTTGGAAGTCATCAGGAAGCTTAATACATCAGAATGAGTATAATCAAATTAATAGATCACGGATGTAACTTACATTAGGAATATATGCAACATGATGACAGGCGGACGCTGTTGGCTTGCCTCGCGTGTACTTAGATTGATTGCCAAAACAGAGGTAGAAGGGCCAGAGAGACGCATCTCCGAAGCTGGCAAGATGAGTGCTGTCGGACCACATCATCAGCGAGGCTACAACTCGCTCGAGATTATCGCCTGGATCTCGGGGAAGTGCGTTAATCTCCTCGTAGGCTTCCAGAAAAGAAGGCGAGGAATACGCCTCGCTGTAGACATTTATAACATGACCTTCGGAGATCTTCCACTGCTGATGGAAAGGCGTTAAATGAAATGTCGATATGATCTTGTCCTCAAAGACGGATGTAATAATGTCAGTGAGGGAGCGGTGATGAACACCCAGGATCTCCAATTCTGGGGCTTCTTCTTCAGATGCGAATGCGACCTTTTCTTTAGGCAGGCGTATTTTTACTGAGGAGCAGCGCCAGCCATTCTCCACACGGAATGGGTTAGATCTGTCTTGAAGATACGCATTCATAAGCTTCTTCTCACGCACATCATCAAAGACACGCATGTCTTCTCTCTCATATTCATCGTTATCTAGAAACAACCGTGTGAGGCGTTTCATTTCGGCACTCGATTTGGAGTTCATGCCGGAATACTGCCAGCACATTAGAAGACCTGCAGTTGGGCTGCTGAATGGGGAGAAGATATCTTCAGGCCGAATGTCTTGGGAGGGAAGTCCGGGAACAATCTGAGATCTCTCCAGATGAGGGTTGCGCCGTGTTTCGAAGGTTGGAGCATCGGCGATCACATCAAGGCCTTCGAAGGGTATGAGAGTCGGTTGTTGTGCATAGACACGGAAAAGACCCAGTGCATCCGGTGCAGTCTGGTAGGGTACAAGTAAGGGCTGGTCGTCAGGGAGGTCATTGATGGCTCGATTGGGGGGGCTGTCTGGCGGAGGGGGTATATGTGGGAGATCAGTAGGTCCAGCTGGGACAAAGTCTGTTAGTTGTGTGGTGACTTCACACTAGATAGGTCGAAGACTTCTAAGACTTCGAAGACTTGAAGGACACTTCAAGGACATTACTATATTAGTAGATAACTTCGAGGACACATACCATACTAGGAATTGTTTATATTTGTTTACATAGACTCGCCCATAGTGCAGAGTTCACAAGTCTTACATGCTTCGTGCATTGACTTTGAACTCTCAGGTACAGTACTTCACTTATTTACACAATAATATCAAGTGCATTGACTTTGAACTCTCAGTTCTTCTAACAAAGTCTGCATAACGAGCAGGCATGCGGATTTGTCGGCCAGAACGGGCAGAGGTAATGGCAGGTGCATCAGGGATAGGTGGGATTGGGAGCTCCGGTTCTGGAATGACGGTGTTAGAAGGTCCTGCAATATTTTCATCCTTGTAGAGTAATATTAGTCCAATCGATCATAAATTTCATATGACATACCTCGTGCACATCAAACCATCGATCATTGTCAATGACGTCGACATCCATCTGTTCAGCTAGACTTGGAGACGACCTATGAGGACCACGACTCGCATTGCTGCCTTTTGGTGAGGCAGACTCACCATGAGCACGTTTCCTCTTGTTCTTCTGACGTCTTTGCTTTTCCAGGCGGCGCTGCTGTTTATAGACGTCAGCATCAAGGTTTTTGCTGGCATCACACCGAGCCTCATGGTTGCTGAGGCTTTTCTGAGTCGTGAAGGCCTTTGAACAGCCGAGGCAGGTGAGGTCGTCCATGGGATGCAGACTCGAGCACAGTATGAACACGAGGATTTATATTATAGCATATAGTCAACATATGTCATAAGAAACTCAAGGACTTAGCAGGAATAAGTAGATCTAAGATACTGCAACTCTTCTCCGAAATGTCCAACTCCTTCCCTGCAATGTCGGATCGTGTGTTGAGCTATCACTGCCAGTTTGATGTCAGCTAGAACAACAGGAAAAAGATTCAATAGACGCACCTATTACAACCTGTGAATTGAAGGAATCAGTGAATCAGTCTAACTCCCTGCCTACAAAGCTATCACCGTGCACCTGCACCCAATCCGCAGGTAGGGTGGATCCCCAGATGGTACAGGTCACCTGCAAGTGGGGTCTATATATCAGAACAACATCTGAAAACAAACGAGATAGTAATCAGGACTTCTGTACCTTTGATGTGACGCCCAGCCCTGAACTCCAGCGTGCTTTGGATGCCGCTAGCCTGAGAATGACAGGCTTTTCTGAGTGGTGAAAGCCTTCAAACAGCCGAGGCAAGTGAGGTCATCCATGGGATGCAGACTCGAGCACAGTATGAACACGAGGAAGGCAGTGCATGATCATGATCGTCAACCGGATATGATGAACTTGAAGAAGATGATCCAAAATGTTCAAAGTTCGACTGAGCGGTAAAACAGTGGGAATTAAGTCACGTGCTTGATTATCTGAGATTGCAATCCCCATATGTTGATCACTGCAACTCTATCTTCCACTATTATCACCACGTTGCAACTATGCCGCACAAACACTCCAGATCCCCCTATTCTTCGGATAGTGGTAGCAGCAGTGATTCATCGATCTCATCGATGGAGCGCACATATGTTCACCCCAAGAAGTCTTCCAAACAACGTGGGCACTCGAGCAAAGGCGATCAGAAGGCAAAGTAAGTTCCATATTCAAATTCATTACACCGAGATACTATAGATTACTGGTATTGAACAGGAAAGCCAAGGTGAACAACGACTCGAATCTCGAAGTTCCGGAAGAGTTTCTTGCGGCAGCACGTGCAATGGCACGTTGTGTCGATTTGTTTTGCAATATGGAGAAACTCTTAAGGGTAGGTGCTCTCCTGCAGCAAGAGCAAGCCGCGGAGAATGGAGAACTTGAAGAGTCCGAGGCCGAGCGTGAGTCCCGGAAGAAAAGACTTTCGAAACTGTAAGTCCCACTTTTGGTGTTTTGAGCCTACAATCAGATCTGCCTTTTTTAGTTCAACTAATACCATCGATCGGTACGAGCGCAGCTATCAACAGTTGCTTCAATTGGCTCCGGGACTCGGATCACTCATCACTGATTGTGTCAAGTCTCAGGAACTCGGTCATATCACGCGAAAGGTGAGTATATGCTACCTATATGCGCATATACTGTGTACTGATATCCTATTTAGATGAATGCTATCATCAGTGGGACACGTTCAGATGACGCAACTCGCTTGAAGGTTCAAATTGGGCACTATGCGGCCCCTGAACCGTTGAAAGAGGCTTTAAAGCCGACTATCTACAATGGCGGCTCACTGTCAAGGGCGCATATGGGCATCAACCACCCTGTGCTGGCTTCCTTCCTTTGTCCTATATCGGCACTTAAAGACTTCGATAAAGATCCTGCACAGTAAGTACTCTATTAGTTCTAGGTTTGTCACTGATGTTCTGTGTCTTAGGGCTCGAAAGTGGATGGAGATAGGACGGATTCGCATGACTGCGATCGATTTCCCGGTGTTTCTGTGGGCCGGCAATCCACCTGCCAGCAACTACAACGAGGATGCCATGCACGAGGGCCTGTTCCAGGGCTATTTCCTCGAGCGCGTAAGTGTTTAGTTGTTTAGTTGATGACATATGTTTTTATCTCACTAACATTCTGAATCACTAGATAATGCGTCATATTTTTACAGGTCCATCTACTGCATTAGGCGACGACTCGCGCGCTACGCGTTCATGCAACGCGTCCCTGCATGATATGACTACCGTCGAAGCGGAGCATATAGCATATGCTTGCGTTCAGGTGAGTTTTCTTTTCATTCACATACTTAATATATCTGAATTATTGGTGTAATGTACTAGGCACGCTTTGCCATCAGCAACAAGAACAAATGGTCCGAGGCAGACGGCGAGTTCAATAACCGAGCCTTCTACTACAATATCATCGACTTCATTCGCGAGTGCGAGGACAGAGATTGGGCGGAGGGACTTCTCAAATGGTGGAACAGGTATGTTTTTTTTTTCACATTTTACCTAACTAATTACTTTTGCCTTAAGGGCATTGTTCAAGAACGAAAACGGACGCGAAGGTGGAATGGCCATAACCGACGACAACGGACCAGGCGACATGGCTGGATCTTCCTCGGCTCCAGTCAATGGTCTGGCCAAGATGCGAGCGCAGATGGCCGCTCGCGCAAGTGCAGCCAAACGACCTGCGGCACCCGAACCTCGACCTGCGGCAGCACCCAAAACGCCCGGACCTACCATCCCTACACCACCTCAAAGTTCTGTCACCCCGGATCTGGAACCTCCTTCAATGTCGATCAATCGATCTCCCAGGCCCCAATTGGCAAATGCCCCCGGCCCATCAAAGTCGCCTGCGCCCAGTGAACTGACGCCAAACAAAGCTCTGTCCGATGGCGATGACATCAGTACCATCAGAAAGGGCAAGAAGAAAGCACCAGGTCGTCCCAAACGTGTGGCACGCAGGAAATAGATCGGTATGTTTACAATATTTGCGATCAATTCATCAGAATTTTCATCTAATTACTCGCTCCAGGCTCTATTACGCTTCCTTCTCATCAAGGAAGAAGCCCCATCGCTCTGGACTCGGCGGCGATCGCTCTGGACTTGGCGACCGGCGCTTCTCGAATCTTTTTCAAATTGGACTTTGCCTTATTCTCGCGCTGGGATTTTTGATGTTGTGTTCTCGTTACTTCTGACATTGCTTTGCATGTTTTCTCTCATTCAGTGACACCCTGCTAGTGCAGCAGGTTCTTTACATTGCAGCGCCTTACAATACTTTGTACTATCATGATGACAATTAATATTTGACTTTAACTGAATATCTCTGTGTGATTCACAATGTCTGAATAATCTAATTGAGATAATAATCTATTTGCCTAGAACACGTCGTACACGCTACGTCCATTGGAAATTTCAGGTTCCAAGTCTGCTCAGACATACTAAACCCTAACCCTGATATTGCTGACAGTGTCGACACCATATATATACCTATATATTGTTAGGTCTAGTATGAGCAATTTTTGTGATGGCGTCATAGGCCATCAGTAAAACCTCGACTTACTTAATCAGACTTTTTTGAACTTTTCACATCTTTTCTGCCTTTTTTTCAATTGTTTTTCTTAATTCACTGCCTGATTCAAATTCATGTGTTCTAATATGTTTTATAAACATAAGAGACATGTTTAGAAACATAAAAACAGAAAGTTGTCACCAGTAAGTGGCACAGAGTGCTGATTATTTTCATTTTCAAATCCTCTCCTGAAGTGGTAATCTTTCCAAATTGTGAATTCCTATCATTGTAATAGTATGGAACAATAATAATAAACTATTCCTGATACTCAAGTTGGGACCATCCAGCTTCAACTGACGCTATAGAGTTGGTGACACGATCTGAGGTGTTGGGCTGGTCCGAGCGTTAGCTCGGGGTGGGACGCAGGCGGGTTGGAGCCGCTGGGAGGGCGGGAAAACCTGCTTACGAGTTTGATCGTGTGTTGACTCATGAGCGAGAGGCCATGTAAAAATGATATAACTTGATATTGCAATTATCCGCATTGATAATAATATCTAAGAAACGAAGCGAGAGCTTATGGTACGAAAAAAATTAAAAATTAACAAGGGAGTGGTGGGTGGGTGAAAATAATGACAGTAAGTGCGAGTGAGGATGCGTGAGCTATGCCGAACTCGACAATGATGGATGGTCGAAAATGAAACAGAATAAAATTACGCTATCGCTCAGCTGGATGTTTGGTGCCAGAATACTCTGTCAGGCTATGTAACCCGGCACCTGTACATTCCAGCTTCAACTGATGCTATAGAGTTGGTGACACGATCTGAGGTGTTGGGCTGGTCCGAGCATTAGCTCAGGGTGGGACACAGGCAGGTTGGAGCCGCTCACCCAATGAGCCGAAACTATCCGCGGCTCAAAGCTGCTGCTCAGCCCAACCAGATGTGGAGGCAACTGTTATAGAGATGCTGCGTTGGTGAGGTGCTGCAAGGAAATTTGCTCGAAGGCACAGATATATGTTTCGTATGCTAGTGATTTCCATCGTCCTGCAATTCGAACTATTTTGGGCTCGACTTTTTTTACCAAGTAGAAAGACGCACCACCTATGTGAAAGGAGTGCCCAAAGGTCATTCCCCAACCCCAGGCCATCAGAATTGAATTGATTCGTTCGAGTGCACGAATTTTCGCCATCAGATGGATGTCACCCTTGCTGTCTCGCCATGAGAATAATGGATCATCACTCAGCGTGGGAATGATTTGTGCGAGGTTGTGGAGAGCGGCCAAGGGGCACAAGCTACCTTGCTCGTTGAGAAAAACAGATTGTATTTCCCCAATGCAAGCAGTTTTGGCTGAAGGTAGGTCCAAATGTGCATACAGATTGCCCCACATGTCGACGCCAAAGAAGGCATGTGCCCTTGTGAGGTGCTTGGAGGGCCTAAATGCTGCATAGGAAGTAACTGAAACCTCACCAAAATGCATCATGCCAAAGAAGGCACAAGATGCCATTGCCCAGATGCAGGCATCAAAGGAGTTGGATAACATGAGGGTGGCTTTGAGAGCTGTCAGCATTGCAAGAGTAACTGGAGGATGGAGGGGTTTCCGGCGGCCTCCGTGCATATTCTCGAGGCCCCGCAGAGACCAGTTAATGCGGCTATGATGTGAGTCCGACAGAGGTGGAGGCCAGCCTTGAGCTATGTGCCAGTCCCGCACTGTGGATAAGTATTTTCGAGCTATGCCAACAGAGACGGCCCATAGTGCAAAGGAATGTAGCAGCTCAAATGAAGCTGGGAGATGGTCACGCTTGGGAACAGAGAAGATGTCACAGAATAAATGATATTTTTGTAAACCAGCACCATAGCCTGCAGTGTCGTGAAGCGATGCTCGATTAGCGAGGTCAGTGATATGCCGAATTATAGGATGACTGATAGTGGACAAAGGGGGATCAGTCACACCTCGCCAGAGAAAAATCTGTTCTGGTGCCTTGCAAGGCAGCCAGAGATGCGAGGAGCTGAGCTCGGCTAAGGCAGAGGTTGTGGGAGATGAGTGCACAATAGGTATGGTTGGCAAGGGGGAGTGTAATGTCATTGTGACCATGGAACGAGCTTGTCGGCCAAATGGGGTGGCAATGGGATAGATACCGCGTCTGTCGCACCAGGAAAACCAGCTCGGAAAGCTCGAATGTCGCCTCGTGAGAGGGCATCTGCAATATTGGTGTGGGTGGGCATGTGTACTGCATGCAGGTGTACACAACACTCTGCTTGCAGACGGTAAATGTGTTTCAACACAGCATTCATTTCGGCGCTGCGTGAATGACCCTTGTTGGTTACCATGACTATGCCTGCATTGTCTGAATGCACGAGATAGCATAAATTCATAGGTAAATTTTCGGGGATGATACCTTGAATTCTTGTCAGAAAAACAAGGATACACGGAAGGAAACAAAAAGAATACCCAGATGGATGGCCACTCAAAAACCGAGCTCGACAGCTACAGCTTCTGCCCAACCGATATCGAAAGCTCGATGGGGCCCAACTCGGAAGCCTGGTGATCAATACCACACAGCCCAGCGGCTCTGGATGACAATGCCAATTCCGAAGGATGTGCTTGCGTCGCCCCACCCAATATCGATTGGGGATGGGTTGGTTATTGGAACACGATTTGGGAGATATAACAATAAGGATTGAATCCAAGGGAGGTCTGAGATAACGGCTGCTGGAGGGTGAAGATGTGCGTGAGAAAAATGGAAACCAACTGCAAAACGTGCAATCGAGCGGAGGAAAGGTTGAATTAAAGGAAAAATACATGCAACATGTACCAGCTTGCCATGTAAACTTGCAGCCTCTTTCGCTGTAAATGATGCCCTGACAAGCAGCCAGCCAGTAATCATCTCCTGAATTTTGCGGAGCTTCTCCTCTGGCAGTTTCATTGAATGTGCCCCATACTGTAGGAAAATTGTCTGCGCTGATTGAAGCATTGGCAAACTGGATGTCTGAGAGGTTTTGTGGGTAGGATAGGTCTTGGACGATACAAAATTTGTTTGAGTGTGTTACAAGAACATCTAGACGCTTGGGCCCCTACCATTTTTCTCCTCATCCTCCTTGTCTCAGCCCTTGCATCACACCCTTACCCCGACCTTGCTCTTGTTATCCTCGTCATCCTCGCATTCCCCTTCGCTCTCTACCTGTCACTCCAGCAGAGCCAGTACATTTGGCTGGACCCTTTCGCTGACGAAGCATACCCATGCTCTGTTCCACCCCCTGACTGATCCTGTGGACAGTCCCCTTTGCCCTTACCGTCCGGACGGTAACCTATGATATGATGCACGCTGCATCCCCTTTACCCTATCTCCTTTTGTGATCTATGACTCAGTGTGCAGTCACACATGTGTACTTATATTTAGCTCCGCAGTTGCACGATCATGCCCCTGCGTGTTTCACTTCCTGTTTCTATCTTTGACTCGTTTTCTTACTTGCACGTTCCGGTTCACACATGACTCACCTCGAACGTGCCTTCCTTTTCTAGTATCACCCTTTGACCAAGTCTCTTTCTGGTAGTACAAGTTATCATCCACTAATACACATCCTCTCCTCTATATAAACTCGCTACCATGTATCTTATTCCTTAACTTGAATCTACTTGGTTCTTGACCTCCTACTCCTAACAAGAGTGATTCCTTTCTGCCTAGCCAGCAGTCTATATTCTACTTTCTTATCTGCTCATCGTGGATAAGTCTCTAGTCTCGATCTTTACTCATCGACTTCGTCGACGAGCAAAGCCCCTGTTAACTAGTTGGACTTCCGTCCTTCTAATTAACGACGATCTTATGATTAACCTTCGGGTGTCGTAAGCCTTGGCAGATACACTTATTGTCGAGCCCCCGCTTGACATAAGCTACCCAATTTGGACATAGGCATTAAATCTTACTTGCTGAAACTCGCCAAGTAAGACCCCTAACCTTGGGCTAGTCCAAGGACGTCCTCGACCATTGACGACACATGCTCTGTTTGAGCGTCGCCAACAGATACCATCCAAGTCGTAACAGAGTGAGGTTTCGGGACTAAACACAGCAGAGAAGTACAAAATGGGCCAATTAAATGCTCTAAATCTGAGGGGGTGAATCCAACGGAATATCTGCCAGTGGCCTGCTCGGAGAGTATGTACGAGTCAATTATGGAGGGATTGAGTAAAGAGGATGCATGATTCTCGAAATGTATATGTACTGGTTGGCGGTTTCGCAACACCAACATTAAAACCATTATGGATATTGTCCACTATATGACACTAGTCGTCGAGGATACCATATTTACGGAGAAGCTCTTCCACCCGTAGGTGATTGAGAGGGGGAATGACAGTGTGAGGATCATCTGCGAGCTTTGCAACTCCCGGCTCCATGAGACGACTCCCCACACAGGCTGCAGGAGTGGGTATTTTTGCACCCGGTTCCAAAGGAGCAATTAGAGTTATTGGCCCAATTGAAGCAGTAGTGTTTCCCACTGGCTGTAGCGACGGTGTGCTTGCTTCTTGCACCAGTTGCAAGGGCTGCGATGGGCCTGCCTGCAATGGTAGTGTCAGCAGCACAGTTGGCAGGCAAGTGACCATGTGCCCCACACTGAAAGCAGTGGTTCGACACAAATGTGTGAGACTTCTTTCGAGGAGATGATACGAAATCACTCAGAGCAGAACACTTAGTGGGAGTATTGGGATGCACAGCAAAGGAAATGGAAGATGCAATTTTATTGTTGGCTATGGTAAGGGCTGCTATACCGAGTCCTGTGAGGTTGTGCTTGTGGTTCGTATGGGCCAATTCCTGCTGTTGCATGTTGTAGTGCATTGCAACTAACCAGCCGTGTGTTCGGCCAATATTGAGGACAACAAGATGATGTGATGTCAGGGCAGATGCTCTATCTGCACCCCAGTAGTGCAAAGTCCTTTCTTCAGCAGCTTTCACTGCACTGACCCAGTCAATGGTCACAATTGATAGCTCACTTGAGCGATCAAGGCCTTTGGCAGTAAGCCCGTCCTGAGTAAAAATAAAGGACAAGTCTTCTCCATGAAGGTAGGCTCTAGAGCGTGCCGCATGTGTGAGTGCCATATATGGCACATAGCGGTCAAGCTTGAAAACTTCCTCTACCTTCGTAGGAATGGCTGCAGTATGACATATCAGACAACTGAAATGATTGTGGTAGAGTGAAAAGATAAACACTGCAGAAATAACTCTGCCGAACGGTTGTGTTTGACGGACAGTCTGACGCAAACGGCGCGACAGGGCACTCTAACAAAGCAGGCGCCAAATGAATGAACACGGCATACACCCGGAGCAAAATGGAAAGGGCGCAGGTATGACAGTAAAATAAGACTCACATAAGCTTAGGGCGCTGACTTTGTGCCCAGGTTGAAGAGCAGGCAAAGTGAGCTTCTTAGGCTCGTCTTTGGCACTAGCTAAATTTGTGCGAATGTGATTGACAGCAGTGGGATCTGCTACCAAAGCTTGATGAGGAATCGTGGCTCTGGCCGGTGATTGGTTGCCGTGAGCACTCCCGCATTCAAGCTCGGCAATCCTCGCCCTCAGCGCAGCGATTTCATCAGCAGGCTGGGCGGGGGGAGGGTTTTGGGCATGTGGAGCATTGGGCCCTGCTGGAAGCGTGACAGTCGTGGCTTGCTGCTGAACCGGATGTTGGCGGGATTGTGGTACTGGCTGCTGCATTGCAGCTTGGAGGGGTTGAGAAGGAGTAGCTCTCGGGGCCCCTTGATTGTTGGCATCCATTGATGACGATCCTGCGGTGGGCGGTTGAGTAGAGGAACTCGGCCCAGAGGGAACAGTGTTCTGGGTGGATGGTGGTGTTGGAGGGGCATTTGATGGCCCATTAAGCTGCAGACCGAGGTGTTCATGCATATTGAGGATGTAAGTAAAAGAAGAATGAAAATAATGACAGTAAGTGCGAGTAAGGATGCGTGAGCTATGCTGAACTCGATGATGATGGATGGTCGAAAATGAAACAGAATAAAATTACGCTATCGCTCAGCTGGACATTTGGTGCCGGAATACTCTGTCAGGCTATGTAACCTGGCACCTGTACATAACAGTGAATTCAGAAAAATAATTGAAAAAAGGCCACTCATTTTTGAAAAGAAGTGAAAAGATGTGAAAACCATTGGCAAGTCCAAAAAAGGTCGGATTAAGTAAGTCGAGGTTTTACTGATATACTTGTTAGAAGAACTGAGAGTTCAAAGTCAATGCACTTGATATTATTGTGTAAATAAGTAAAGTACTGTACCTGAGAGTTCAAAGTCAATGCACAAAGCATGTAAGACTTGTGAACTCTGCACTATGGGCGAGTCTATGTAAACAAATATAAACAATTCCTAGTATGGTATGTGTCCCCGAAGTGTCTTAGAGGTCTGTCCTCAAAGTGTCCTCGAAGTCCTCAAAGTCCTCGAAGTTATCTACTAATATAGTAATGTCCTTGAAGTGTCCTTGAAGTCCTCGAAGTTATCTACTAATATAGTAATGTCCTTGAAGTGTCCTTCAAGTCTTCGAAGTCTTAGAAGTCTTCGACCTATCTGGTGTGAAGTCACCACACAACTAACACCCTGGGGGCTCCCTCAAAAACCAGAATCTTGCCCAATGGAGGTGAAAAGGACGAGCCTATCCTCAAGGAGGATGATGGCAAGGGATCTACAATGATAAGCATAAGCCCGATTCTTGGCAGCGTTAATGGATTACAGACATCCCACCTTAGAATACGTACCAACAAATATCAAGATGTAGCTCTCGACAATCAGGATACCTCACAACAATCTGAAAGAAATATTAGCTGGATTGACATGCCTAACAATGGAGATATTGGTGACATGCCTGAATTCCCCGTCCTGAGACAAACCATCCAAACAATGTCAACTCCACATGAATCTATCAGAAAGGATCATAAAGAAAATAATAACTCTCCCAAAGTAGACAATATGTTCAATCTATGGACTGAAATAGATGAGCACGTCGCTCGCCTGAGCAAGTCTGATGCAAGAGACTCCAATGAATCCCTGAAGAAGCTCTGGAATGATGATTACCGGAGAGACTCAATCCAAGAGCAAAACCTTGCCTTGCAAAGATATCGCAACTTGGCCCATGTCGAGTTTACTGAGCAGGAGCACCTGGTAACCAATCTGAAAAATCAAATCCATCAGCTCCAATCACAAGTAATCAAAAGTAAGGCCTGTGAGGAGGAATCCAAAATGCTTATGCGAGAAACCCACCATGCACCTCCAAATGAACTCAAATTTCCTCCAGCAAATCGGAAGGTACCTATTGCTGATAGCGAGAACCGAGAATGACCTAAAGAACCTCGAAAGTGAGACCTGACTGAAGACACTTGCTATCAGAGAGCATCGTCAATCCTCCCAGCTGGTAGTTCTGTTAAACATGCCATGGCTGGCCCGAGTCCCGGAAACAACAACCCAAGCGACCTGGAATCCTCGGATAATGAAGAACATTCATCGACGGAATCTGATGCTGACGCAACCTCAAACAACAAGACTAAGACACGTACCAAAGCTCAACGAAAGGAGAAAACAACGTACCTCGTTCAAGACCATATTGATGAACCTGCTGATGCATTTGGAGTGGATTTCCTGGCAATGGAGCCAGAATCCGATCATGACAGTGATTCAGATAGCACCAAGCAAAACAAATGCCAAGCCAGACAAGAGTACTGCGCGAAATTGAACCTATTGAAGTATCAACAAAGCTTCATTAAGAATGAACCCCCTTTCACGTACAACAGTGACGCTAACGTTCAAGAAATGGGTGCGTGAAGTGAGAGACTGGAAAGACAGAGCCAGACTGTCACCTGAGCAGAGCATCAAGATGTTCAGGAAGTACTTGAACGGGTCCACCTATCATTTCTATGAGTGAGATATCCTGGATTTGAGGAAGAATTACTCACTTACTGAATTCTTCGAACAACTCTTTGATTATTTGTTTCCCCCGGATTTCCGCATGCAACAACGTCAGCGATTCCTAGAATGTAAGCAGGATTTGAAGCTACCTGTCTGGAACTATCTTCAAAGGCTTCACAATCCTGCCGACATGGTTGGCGACGTGGACGAAAAGGAGATGGTACACCAATTCTGGATGAACTGTCAACCATATATTAGAGCATCTCTAGTAGGCAAAAGGTACGAACCGAATACAGTAAGCCTAGACACAATTGAGTGTAAGGCTCTGAGGATCGAGAGGGCCCACCTGCTCCTAGCAGTATTATGGATAACCAAGTCTCATTAGAGACCACTGGTTATCCTTCCTTGTCATGGATTGCTGATGCTTGACAGATTATCCATTACCGCTCCCACAATGGATAATTTGCCAGACAGCTTAATTTGGTATGTTTCTGCTCATTCTGGCTCAATTCCTCATGTCAGGACTTCCCACAATAATACTACACCGCATTTTTGGCCACACAGCATGGGAATTACCCCACAACACCCAAAACATCGCCCATTTTGGTATTCTCCACAATATCAATTATTCCCACACCCTTCCCACCTCACTGCAGCTTTACCACTGCACCACAATAGGTCCCCCCATGTATCTAAGTAGTAGTTCAGTATATATATGTATCACATAATATAATAGACCACTTTTTTTTGCCCATTTGTATGTCTGCTCCTCCTCCAGGGGCAATTCAACATATGGTAGGATATAAAACACTTTCGCACTTTTGCCCCTTTGGCAGGGAAGTATCCTGGAGCATTCAGAACATGTTTAGTAGTATATATGAATATACTACTAAACATGTTCTGAATGCTCCAGGATACTTCCCTGCCAAAGGGGCAAAAGTGCGAAAGTGTTTTATATCCTACCATATGTTGAATTGCCCCTGGAGGAGGAGCAGACATACAAATGAGCAAAAAAAAGTGGTCTATTATATTATGTGATACATATATATACTGAACTACTACTTAGATACATGGGGGGACCTATTGTGGTGCAGTGGTAAAGCTGCAGTGAGGTGGGAAGGGTGTGGGAATAATTGATATTGTGGAGAATACCAAAATGGGCGATGTTTTGGGTGTTGTGGGGTAATTCCCATGCTGTGTGGCCAAAAATGCGGTGTAGTATTATTGTGGGAAGTCCTGACATGAGGAATTGAGCCAGAATGAGCAGAAACATACCAAATTAAGCTGTCTGGAAAATTATCCATTGTGGGAGCGGTAATGGATAATCTGTCAAGCATCAGCAATCCATGACAAGGAAGGATAACCAGTGGTCTCTAATGAGACTTGGTTATCCATAATAATAACACTATAGCCTGGAGGGCCTTCCTCGAAAATGTGAAGGACCCAAATGTCCTCCTAGCTTTGAATCCAACTCTTGTAACTAGCTTCACTTCTCAATCGCACCCTTCCCAGAGATGGAACTCAAGGCCGTTCAGGTCATCAAACTGCCCCAGCACAAACTCGATATCTGCAAATGCAGTGTCAGAGTCGCCCACGTGGAGCAATCAGGATCATAAAACTTACCAAAGATCCTCCAATTGTGGCACCAAGCAGCAACCTCGATGGCAAAGAAACCCTGAGCAAGTCAAGCACCTGTGTGAGCTGAACCAGTGCTTTGAATGTGAGCAGACCGGTGTAATGATGGTCGCAGCGCTGGGCTCGGAACCAGTCAATCTAACACTTACATTCCATACCATTCCCCGACCTCCCTTGACTTTACGAAGGCCAGGCACACTTGTCCAAACCTTCCGCAGGCAGTTCTTGCGTTCCAAGGCCCATCCGAACCTCATGAGTTACCATACTATGTCCTATCCTCGAGCCCATTCAGTGAATTCACCTGTCTCAGACAGGCAGCCGAGCGTGACAATGTACCAATGGGAACGGGCCATCCCACATGGGCCCATGGTAATAATTGTACCGTGATATAGGAGTGGGCCAAGTGAATGTGTGTACCCAAGCCAAATGGATGGGCCAGGGGTATATAGTATAGATGGTAGTGTAGGAATGTGCTAGGATATAGGACATTATGAATAGTGAATCCAGTTTACAATGGAGACGGGTGGGCCAGATGAATGTGTGTACCCAAGGCAAACAGATGGGCCGAGGGAATATAGTATATACAATGGTATAGGAATGTACTAGTATATAGGACACAATGGATGGTACATCCAGGAAACAATGCATCCAGTGCATCTAGCATTAGGTAAATGGATGACCCGGTAGGTATATAATCCGGTGGTTAGGTATATCAACTGGTGGGCATATTATCTGGTGGGCATATAATCCGGTGGGTATATGATCAGGTAGGTATATAATATGGTGGTATAATCAGGAGTAGGTATATAATCTAGTGGGTAGGTATAAAATCCGGTAGGTAGATATGAAATCCAGCAAGTATATAATGTGGTAGGTATATAATCCGGTGGGCACAGTATCCAGTAGATAAGTATATGGTCCGGTGGGTACATGATCTGGTAGGTAGGTATAGCAATCTGGTGGGTATAAAATCTGGTTGGTAGGTATAAAATCTGGTGTATATAATCTGGGAGGCATAAAATTCAGTGGGTGTATTATCCGGTGGGTATATACCTTGGTAGGTATATAATCCGGTCATATAATACAGTGGGTATATAATCTGGAAGGCACATAATCTGGTCGGTAGGTATATACACCAGTTGAAAAAATATCTGGTATGTAAATCATCCTGTGGGTATATCATCCGGAAGGTAGGTGTATTATCCAGTAAGATCTCATACAATCCACCATGGTATTGGACTGGCCTTACAACTGTTCACATGTAGGTTATGCAAGTCAACTTTATAATTGTGTGACATAGTCCTTTAAACATTGAAAGAACAACACATGTCCACCGGTATAAACCATAAGTAAAAATGAAAAAGAATCATGTATACTACCATTACTTGGGCCAATTACTGGAGGTGTTCTTAGCATGCCTGGCACTCACTGACCGACCCTGTTGGCATGATTGAGGTGCAAATGACTGGTTTGGCAAAGGAGCTGAGATGGACTGACCATCAGCCGGCACATTTGATGGCCCAGTGACCAGCATGTGAAGGGTGGTAGTAGAAGGCATAGATGCCATTGGGACAGTGGGAGGTGGTACCGGAAATGCATCAACCGGATGAATGGGTGGACCGGATTCCCCCATGGTGGGCACAGAATTCATGGTGGAGGTAGAGGTAGATGCAAATGCCAGTGCCGGCTCATTTCTTGTGACCGGTGAGCCATCGCCAACAAGGCGTGCATTGGTCAAAGATACATCTGGAGTAAACATATTATTGGTGATGGCATGACCTAAGGCACTGATGGAGCCGAACTTGGGGAATAAGGGGGTACTGGGAATGACAATGGGTGGTGGATTAAATGAAGGTGGAGTTGCGGCCATCACTGCAGTGGTCCTTGGGTTGTCCCTGGGGTACCAGGCAATGCTACCCATCTGAAAAGCCAAGTGATCCACCAGTCCCTTCTGGGTGTTACAAGAACATCTAGACACTTGGGCCCCTATCATTTTTCTCCTTATCCTCCTCATCTCCGCCCTAGCCTCGCATCCTTACCCCGACCTTGCTCTTGTCATCCTTGTCATCCTCGCATTTCCCTTCGCTCTCTACCTGTCGCTCCAGCAGAGCCAGTACATCTGGCCAGACCCGTTCTCTGACGGAGCATACCCATACTCTGTTCCTCCCCCTGACTGATCCTGTGGACAGTCCCCTTTGCCCTACCGTCCAGACGGTAACCTATGACATGATGCACGTCGCATCCCCTTCACCCTATTTCCTTTCTTGATCTATGACTCTGTGCGCAGTCGCACATTGTACTTATACTTAGATCCGCAGTCGCACAATCGTACCCCTGCTTGTTTCACTTCCTGTTTCTGTTCTTTGACTCACTTCTTATCTGCACGTTCCGGTTCGCCCATGACTCACCTTGAACGTGCCTTCCTTTTCTAGTATCACCCTTTGACCACTTCTCTCCTTGGTAGTATGAGTTATCATCCACTAATACACATCCTCTCCTCTATATAAACTCACTACCATGTATCTTATTCCTTAACTTGAATCTACTTGGTTCTTGACCTCCTACTCCTAACAAGAGTGATTCCTTCAGCCTAGCCAGCTGTCTATATTCTACTTTCTTATCTGCTCATCGCAGATAAGTCTCTAGTCTCGATCTTTACTCATTGACTTCGTCGACGAGCAAAGCTTCTGTTAACTAGTTGGACTTCCGTCCTTCTAATTAACGCAGATCTTACAATTAACCTCCAGGTGTCGTAAGCCTTGGCAGATACGCTTGTCGTCGAGCCCCCACTTGACATAAGCTATCCAATTTGGACATAGGCATTAAATCTTACTTGCTGAAACTCGCCAAGTAAGACCCCTAACCTTGGGCTAGTCCAAGGACGTCCTCGACCGTTGACGACACACGCTCTGTTTGAGCGTCGCCAACAGATACTATCCAAGTCGTAACACTGGGTGTTCAATTCTTCTTGTCACGAGTACCTTTAACAAACCATTATTCTTTCCTGAATCTTCCTAAGCGCCAATACACAGCGCCTAAGTCAAACCCTAACCCTATCCTGAAAACGTCTATAATTCCCGAAATACCTTTAGCGCCTACGACACGTGTCTTTGATGTGACTGATGAAGAAGACGAGTTCTTTGATTGTGAATAGATTAGATTAGATACGATAAGATAAGATATGGTCACGTGATGCTTCTTTAATATTCTACGATGTTCCTTTCTTCATACGCACGTAGAACCTTTCGTTAAGTCTAGTGGAACTGTCGCATTTGCGGATAGTCCTACCATTGTTACCATGAGGATTTAGATACGGGATTCTAGTGAGACTCGTACTTGTAAGCTTCGGCTGGAAGAGTGATAACTTGTCCTAGACCTGTACCCTTTCGGTGACTGAGAAGTAGCACACACGGAGCACACAGTGTTTTTCCCACTTAACAAAGCGTAACTTTACGTATTCCTTTTAGTTAGTAATTAGGGAAGTGTCAGTCGGGTTGATTAAAGAACCCTTTGACCCTAAAGGACGAGGTTGATCCAGTTAGTACTGGGGACCCCTTTAGCTTTCCATTTACGTATCCTTTTTCCCTCTCCCCTTTCATCATCTTTCCTATCCGGAAGAGCCGTTACGACCCGCTCTTCAACAGTCATTAGTGAATCGGATTCCAGAACGCACCTGGCACTATGGCTGAAGTCAACGAAGCAGAAATGGGACCGGAGAACCCTCAAGAACCCCAAGAGGAACCGGGACCACAAGGCATAGCTATGCCGATAGAGTTCACAAACTACGTACAAAGTGCTATTCAAATGGCAACCCACGAACTGTACGTAAGGACACAAGAACTCCTTAACCACAACAACACGCTTTGAGCACAGAATGCGACTCAGGAGCTTCAACTCAGAACCCAAAACTCACAAATCGAGGAACTGAAGAAGAAGCTTGAGAGATTCGCTCAAAGTCCAAATACTTCGCAAGTCAAATTGTCGAAGCCCACAGAATTCACTGGAGACAAAGATTCAATCTCCATAGAAGTCTACACGACTCAGTTGGCACTATACATGTCACAATGGCCACTGATCACGGACAGGCAGAAGATTACAACTGCCTCTGTCTTTCCTTAAAGGATCTGCTGCTAAATGGGCGCAGAAATACGTAATTGAGCTTGATTCCAAGCCAATATCCTTTGAGGACTGGACGAAAGAATTCGAAACCATGTGAGGCCAAGACGACAGAGAAGGAAAGGCTATCAGGGAGTTGGAAACCCTGAAGCAAGGATCTTCATCAGTGCCCGAATACGCAGCAGCTTTCAAGCAGAAGGCTGCACTTACCAAATACTCCGACTACGACCTCCGCCTCAAATTCCGATCTGGCCTA